TGTGTGTGTGTGTGTGTGTGTGTGTGTGTGTGTGTGTGTGTGTGTGTGTGTGTGTGTTGTGATAAAGTACTTCCAGTGATTACTGTTTACCATACATTCACTTGACCTCCAAATGTCTCAAGTGATAGAAAATAGCATTAGAACAACAAAGATTGTGTACAAACAAGAGCTAGAGTATTCAGAAATTTTACTCAAGTAAGAATAGTGATACTTTAGTTAATAGTTACTTTTTTGGCTGGGTTTGTGTAGTTTATTTTAATTTTGTTTCACCGACACACTGTAAAATTACACACTACACCTCCATACAGGTGGCGATAAGCAGCTTAAAACCAGTTGCGAGGAGAAGAAGAACTTTTGTCCTACTAGGTATAGATATACTAGACATGTTTCAGCATTATYTCATGTATTTGTTTAGGTCCTGGTTAGTCCTGATTTTAACACAGACTCATCTCATTTAAGACCTAAGTTAGAGTCTTTTAGACTTTTAGTCCCTTTGTTCTATTAATGGATTTCTACCAAATAAATGTTGTTCAATTGTTTTGTACAAAGTTGTTTCTAGTTTATTGTAACAAATGTTATTTTCAATTCAGTGAACGAGCACAAATATTACAAATAACAACTAAAAAGCTCAGATTAAATTGAGAGCTCCTTAATTAGTCTCAAGCCTTGTCCTTGAAGTGGTGACTATAGGAGTTAAACCTTAATTATTTTTCTCCTTTTTCTTATTTTGTTTTTTGTAAACTGAAGATAATTTTTGATTGAATTTATTTATTTGAGAAAAAGGGGCATATATAATAAGATTTTTTTCTTCTTCTGCTACCTTTCATTTAATTTATGATTTGTATTTTTGTTTGTTGAATTTATGTTGTTTTTAAAGAAATGAATAAACTTTAACTAACTAACTAACTAACTAACTAACTAACTAACTAACTAAATATAGAGACTAAATGAGTTAACAGTTCATGTAAAAGGGGTATAATTTAGAAGATACACATTTCAGTGGTGCAGGGGGTAGGAATTCACCTTGCAACCAGAGTGTTGCTGGTTCCATTTCCTGTCTGAGTGCATACCATTGTTGTGTTCTTGGGTAAAACACTTAAGGCAACTTCCTCGTGTAGAAATCTGTTGGTGTGACTGAGGTGGTCTGGAGGGACTGTAGGTGCAGGATGGCAGCCACACTTCCACCACCAAGTGTGACTGAGGAGTGAATAAAATGCAGGAAATATTAAAATGTCTGAGTGTCTAGAAAAGTGCTATATGGGCCTAATGTGTTATCATCATATATTTGGAGTTACTGATTGGTCCAACATAGCAGAATATTTTTTCCCATTTATTCTCAACTTATGGGAAATCATTGTTAAAGAAACGTATAAATTTTAAAGGCACAGTTTGTAGGATTTTGTTAATTCTTTTAGACGAAATTGAGATAATCACTAATGACAATAATAAAAACATGTCTAAT